TGTTTAATGTCTACATAATTGTGAATTCCTCAAATTTCTTTCTGTTAATGATTTCTAATTTTATTCCATTGTGGTCAGAGAACATATGTTGTATGATTTCATTGCTTTTAAATGTTTAGGACATATTTGATTGCCTAACTGTTAGGCCCTAACATATTATCTATACTGAAGAACTTCATGAGCACTTGAGAAGAAGGTGTATTTGCTGGTGTTGGGTGAAGATGTCTATTAGCTTAGTTGGTTCACAGAATTGCTTTCTTTATATCTCTCTCTCAGTTTGTTGCTAGTAGATAAAAATGCAACTGATTTCTGTATCTTTATTTTGTATCCTATAACTTGACCTAATTCATTTATTAGTTTTAGCAGTTTTTTTGTGGAGTCTTTAGTGTTTTCTATATCATCTGAAAACAGAGATAATTTCATTCCTTCCTCTGGATTCCTTTCCTTTCTTTTTCTTGTCTAACTGCTCCAAGTAGGACTTCCAGTACTATGTTGAGTAGAAATGGAGAGAGTGGGCATCCTGTCTTGTTCCTAATCTTAGAGGAAGTACTTTTAACTTTATACCGTTCAGTATATTAGCTGTGGGCTTGTCATGTACAGTCTTTATCATGTTGAAGACTGTACTGATGTTGTCAGTGGAAATGGTGTCCTTTCAAGGGGTCGTGAGAAAAGCATTCCAGGGAGGAAAAGGCTTAGTGGTGAGGTTTATTGAAGAAGCTGGAGCAACACAAAGGACTGTCCGGGGTCAGCTCTGGTGTCCCGTCTCCACCCATCCTGCCATGACTTTGTCTTCATCAGGCCAGGATAGGGCCAGTGTCCAGACATTTTGCGCCATTGGTTCAGTCCATGTCTCTGTCCTCATCCAGCCAGCTTAGTCTGTGTTCCCAGCTGTGCTCCGGCCAGCGCTGTGCCCAGGCCTACGTGGCCACGGGCCCCAGGCAGCTGCAAGGGCCACATGGCTGCCATGGAGAGGAAATGCACGCTACTGAGCAAGCGAATAAGAGAGAGCTCTTTGGTTATATTATCTCAGGCTTAGGACAGGCTAGGCATCTCTTCAAACTAACCAATCAACTTCTCAATCCTTAGCAGGCTAGCACTGGGCCTTCCGTTAACCAATCCATTTCCTAGATCTCCCAGGGCTCTGTGTTCCTTATCCAACCTGATCCTTTCCCCAGGATAGATGAACAGGCCTTTATGGTCCCCATCTTGGCTCCTTTGGCACAGGCCTCAGTAGAAGCACCTCCCCTGTGCCATCTTGGCTTCTACTGGGCATGTGCCAGCAGAGGAATTCTCCTGTTTTTTTTCCTCCCCTGGTAATGATCCTTACTGCACGCTTAGGGTATTAGGTCCTGAGGGTAGAGGATGCCCTGGGGAGTATGTGGAGCTGTAACTTCCTAGTGAATCCAGCAGGCTTATTGTCCGACTCAGTTTCCTATTTTATTATGCTTAATAATGTCTGATTCCCTTTGCTCCCTTTCTTTATTAATATCTAGCGATCTGTGCTAACACCTCTGCATCTAGTTTGATGAGAGTTTTTATCATTAAAAGATGTTGAATTTCATCAAATGCTAAGTGTACTTTTCCCACACATCAACTTTGCTTACATTCCATTGGGCAGGATTCTGGGCTGAACTTGATTGCAAGGATGGCTGGGAAATGTAGTCTTTCTCAGGGATGGTTTTGTATTCGCTAACCTTTGGTGATCCTATCACTTAAAAAATAAAACAATGAAATTGAAGGTTCAACCAAGCAGTGTCTGCCATAAAACACTGATGGGAAAATACATGAAAAACTAGTAACAGTATTTGCCTCTAGGAACGGGGTGCTGGTGTCTGGGGACATAGGTAGAAGGAAAATGTCCCTTTATGCATTTTTGGATTATATAATTTGTTACATGTGAGTGAACTAATTAAACATTTTAAATAACGTGATAAAAATAGCAGCACCTTCTGTGCTTTGGAAACATCCACAGCTGGCTCACTGACCAGAGTCTGTCTGTGCCCTCACGCTCATGCCCTCAGAAAGGGTTATGGCTGTGGTGTGAAACTCAGGCCACATCAAACTACAGAAAATCGTTCGGTTTGGTTCGGTTTGCGGAGCTGGGGAAGCCCCAGGGGCCAGCATGGGCCGAGGCCTGGGGAGAAATGCAAACTCAGATAAGCATCTGGAAGAGCTGTTCCCTGTGGACCCAGGTGGCCTTCCCGTGCTGGTCCTGACTGTGCTGGGCTGGCTCAGGGGAAAAGGGCCAGTTCTGCTGCCAGGCTCTTTCCCCAGCGCTGCTCATGCTCAGAGGGAGGAGGCCAGTACCCCCTCCACAGGAGGGGCTGGGGAGCAGGGCCTGGGGACACAGCCGCTCCTGAGTGGGCAATGCAGCTTGCCCTTTGAAGCAGAGCCTTTGAAGCTTCTGCCAGGAAGAGGCTTTTGCTGCCCTTACCTGGCTCTCATCTCTTCCCCGGCCTTCGGAACTCAAGAGAACCTGGGGGCAAACTTCAGTTCTGCAATGGGGGAGGACTGAGAGGCCAGGGCAGTGAACCCCTTATCCCAGGGCACAGGGCCAGCGCCTCCCACTGGCCCCAGCTGGGCTGTGGGCAGAACACAGGACAGACACCCTCCCACCCCCTGGTGCACAGACAATACAGGTTCTGCTCCCGCCATGGACTCCCAGCACCCCCTGGAGCTCCCCACGGCAGTTCTTCCATGTCCAGGAGCTCTGCCCAGAGAAACATAGCCAATTCCACACCTTGTCCAATGCGCAATACAGGAAAACTGAAAGTTAACATTTCTCTAAATATGCACATACTATTCCTACAATAAATAAATTGAAATTTTATAATTTTTAATAAAGTAGATTTCCCTGAACATTTAAGCATTAAATGTAATCAATTACATGCTTCCTAATTCTAATGATTCTGTCTCACAAATGTTTCAAACACCTTTAAAAACTGACAAATAGGAATGTGATCATCACAAAACCAGATCTGCATACTGGTAGTAAAACTGGCTACAAATGCTAATCCGTGGACCTCAGTTTGTTTCTTTATAATTTGCAGTCAGCAGCCCTGGCAGCGGGACAGATAGACATTCTGTATCCATATGCCACGCATGACTGCCCTCTCCTGGAGATCTGAGCGCAGGCCATGCTACACCTCTTATCAGGGGCGCCTCTGCAGAGCTCTGTCCCACAAATCCTCCACCCTAGGAAGGGTCCCGGGAGGGTCCTGGCCTCTAAGTCAGGATCTCATGGGCTAGCCAGGCACCTGCCCCAGAAGGGATGTGGATGGTGACAGCTGACCAGAGTAATCAGCAACCCTTGGGGCACCTGAATGTGCTCGCAGAGAGGGGTTAGGGCAAAAGCCAGTGACTCACAGAGAAGGCCAGGCAGGAGCCCTCCCCCATGCAGGACTGAAGTTTGCCCCCAGGTTCTCTTGAGTTCCGAAGGCCGAAGGCTGGGGAAGAGATGAGAGCCAGGTAAGGGCAGCAAAAGCCTCTTCCTGGCAGAAGCTTCAAAGGCTCTGCTTCAAAGGGCAAGCTGCATTGCCCACTCAGGAGCGGCTGTGTCCCCAGGCCCTGCTCCCCAGCCCCTCCTGTGGAGGGGGTACTGGCCTCCTCCCTCTGTGGGGGACCAGTGGGCCGGAAGCAGCTGGAACAGTAGAAACAAAGTGAGACACCAGTGTTGTCATTAGCTAGTGATCAATATTAGTAAAAGGAAGAGAGCAAACGGAGAGTCAGGCATTGTTAAGCATATTCAGCTGGGGAGCATAAGCCTGTGTGTTTCACAGCTTCACGCCCAGGGATGCAGCATTGTCCTCCAAGGGGAGTAACACCCCTCCCCCATCAGTACTGGATTGTTGGGGTGAGAAGGGGGAGATAGGCACATGCGCAGTTGAAGTCAGGGTGGCACAAGGGAGGTGCTTGCCTGTCAGTCTAGCCTGGGGAACAAGGGATTGGCTAGGGGGTGGACCCCACCAGAAGCGTGCAAAATCTTGGAAAGTTAATTGGTTAGTTAGGAGCAGCTCCTGGTAAAAGCCCCAGACAGACTTCCCTGGCTTCTTCCTCTCCCTTGCTGCAAGACCCACACTCGCCCTTGCAATCACACATTCTCTCTCCACAGCCATGGGGCCTTAGCAGCCACAGGGCCCACGGCTGTGAAGATGCCACACGCAGGAGGCTGGACTGGCCTGGGCTTTAATATGGAGCAGAAACTACGGGCAGTGGCCTTTACTCTGGCCCTGCTGAAGACACGGTCAGACTTTTACATGACAGGATGGAGGGAAATGGGACATTGGAAACCCAGGAGTTTATTTTCATTCGAATAAATATCGTTTATCCTCCAGTTCGAGTCTCAGGAAATGCTGGGGTCCGACCCCAGCAGGTCCAGGGGTCCCCAAAGGTGTGGACGGAGTCGGCGAAGAAGGAATGACACGGAGACAGCCTTCAGTTGATCAGCAGCCTAGTCAGGACCTCTAGCCAGGATCTCCAGCCAAAGTTCTGGTCGGAGTTCTGGTTAGGAACTGATCAGGATCTGATGTTTATTGTCTTGTTACATCTATATTTATACCAGCCGATTTTAATCCTGTCAATTTCTATTACAAAGGTTAGGGCGTTTCTTATCTCCATTCCAGGGAGTAAAGATTATGTAGCTTAACTACCCGCCTGGCACTTAATTAAGGGGTTGTATCCCCTCCCTAACCTCGGGGAAAAATCCCCACCTGGGGAAACAACCTTTCTCGGAGAGGTGACCTTGGTTAAAACACATGGCGCCGCTTAAGGACAAACATATTAAGAACAATATGCTATATATGCCAGGTCCCTTGAAACATATGCTGTGCAGATGTTTCTTTCCTGCAGCGACTGTGTCAAGCAGCAAGGATGGACCGGCTTCCGGCAAGGAAATTCTTTTCCTCATGACACTGCAAGAACTCCACTTCCACCAATAACATGGGGAGCCAGGCTTCTTCTGAAGGGTTTGGCTGAGGGACTAGGCTGGGTGATTTTCTATTTCCCTGCGTGTCCTCACACAGGCAAAAGAGGTTGTAAGAAGAAGTGATGGTATGTGTGGAGGCCAAGGGCACAGGAAACAGAAGCTGATCCAGAGATGTGTGAGCAGGAAGTGAGGGAAGCAGGATGGGGTGAGAGGAGAAATTGAACTGTCAGGCCATTTCAAGGGAGGCTTCAACTGATCCCACCAGGCGCCTGGAGCTGGGATCACTCACCAGTTGTCCAGAAACAAGGAAAGGGGTTTTGGTGAGCCTTGTGCAAGGCAATTCCCTCCTGAGCTATCAAATTCCAACACCTCATCTTGAAGGGTGGTCTTTGGCCACCGCTATGCTAGGAGGTGACAGGCTGAGTCACCAAATGTGAGGGGGGCTGGGCTGAAAGGTTAACATGGTGGTTGGTACATGCAAGCGGCTAAATGTATTTAAGGGGAGAGGGTGGGGGAGAGGATACCCAAAGGGAAGGGGACATTGGCGTGATGCTGGCAGCAGCCAGGAGCTGGAGTTTCATCCTTGTATGCAGTCACTAGCGGGAAGCTGTTGTTGTGAGTGGATTCGGGGGCCGAGTCCTTGGGCTTGTAATGGGGGCGGAAGGCAGGGTGCAATCAGGTGCCCTCAGGACAGTTTCAATGTCTTGTGTGGTCCGACTCCTGGTGTCCAGCAAGTTTTTCTTGGTCTTTCATTCTCCTGTGGTGGGAAGCTTACAAAGGGCCTAGGGTTAGAGATGTGGGTACAGTGACCAGGCCTGGCCGGCCTCTGTAGACTATCCAGTGAAATGAACTTCTAATAGTTTGGGGCAGGGGGACGATGGGATCAGATTTTCATTCCAGGCTGGGGCTGGAGCTCCGGAGAGAGAGCAAGTCCGGTGATAATCATGAGGTGTGGCCAGTAGCCAGACGATACCTAAGGGCACAGGAGTGGCTGAGACCTCAGCGGGCTCGCAGAGATGGCATGGGGGTGTTTGTGTCTGTGTGTGCAAGGGGGGCTTAGTGCTGAGAGGGACTAAAGTTTCACCACCCCCAAAATATGCTTCTGGCGGATTGATTTTAAACTGGTTATTTTTAAGAAATAAAAGACTCAGAAATAACCTTTGACCCTCCCCTTTACTTGCCTAAAGGAATCCAGGTAGAAAAACCTGCTTAAATGAAGGGCAAATCAACTTATCATCATAATATAAAGTAAATGTTATGTTACTTTGACACAAATTCCCACGGTAAACAAATTTTGCTCTTCATTATCTACCTGTGAATTGCTGGCTTTCCCTTTGAAATCCTAGGCTCCTGCTCCCCTCTCCTCTGTCCAGAATGGCAGATAAGGCTCCATTGCCCAAGGCATCCTTGGGTCTCTTATTCTTATGACACTCCCGCATGTGCATCCATAATAAAATTTGGATGTTTTCTCCCGTTAATGATCATGTTAACTTGAATATCTTAGAAAGGTGGGAGAAAAATTAGTGTTTTCACCCCACAGTGCAGAGTCTTGGAAGTGCAGCAACACTTTCGGGGGGACGAGATCAGGATACTCAAAGGTCAGGGTACTCAGAGGAGTTGGGTGTGCAATACGGGGTCCTCCCTGAGTGGGTAAGTGGAGGAGGAGAGACAAGAGAACGCGTGCTCCAGGGAGGAAGGAGAGATATACAGTGTCAGATCAGGACTGAAGAGCC